AGCTTGTGCCATAGCTGGGAATTCCTTTAAGCTAATTGAAGAGGTATTCTGAAGGTGTTTGGTTTCGTTGTGTTCTGAATAATTGATCAGGTTTCATCAACTTTCTTCTGTGCACTCGGGCTCCAGGTTACAGTCACACACTGGCTGGCAGAGTTTCACCTTGTGTTTCTTTGGCAGTTCCAGCCTAAAAGAATTCCTGTCGTGCTCGGGCTGGAGCTGGCAATGAATATCATGAGTTGTGCTGGCATGACTCCTGTGGATGTGCCTTAGAAACAGGATTATTTCATTGGGTAAACTCTAGTTTACTGTTAGTGGAGATGAGGGCACAGCCTGCTGCAGTTTGTGGGCTTGCAGGAGTGGTCAGAGGTACATACAAAACCTTTAAGCTGCCACAGCTGTCGAAAATCTTATATGGAACTGCGGCCTAACTTGTTTATCAGTTAAAAATATTTTTAAGAGCTCATCCTTTTTCGTTCTATCTTTAAATAATTAGAGTGGTGCAAATCATCTTATGTTGGAACCTTTTTGTTCTTTCTGTCCATCTGTTTGCAGTCTAACATGAGTCACATCCTTCTTCACTCCCTCTGCCTTGCTAATACATGGGGTACAACATTTTCCACTTTCTCATTTGTACTTGTACATCGTTCTTGTTCTCAGACAGAAACTGTTCTCACTTGGACACGTTCACAAAATGCTGCTATATCAGTCCTCCCGTGATGACCTGTTTTCAGTGCTCTCCTTGTCATATTTGCACATGCCATTTCCTGTTAGCCTGAAAAAAAGGGTGATCTAGTAATTTATTAAAAAAAGATAAAGGACATTGACTCCATTAATTATCCTTTTTCTTTTACTATTATACATTAACTGGTGTTTCAATCCATTCTAATTTTTACTTTTTTATAAGAGTAGGAAAAGGAATGGATTTTTTTAGAGCGTCAGTACTTTAATTCCTTTAATCCCTTGTTGTTTTTCCTCTCCATCTGCCAAATCATAACAGGATAAAGGCTTTTAGAGATATGTTCTTTTATGCTTTTGCCATCATAGATAGTAGTAGCAGAGTGGCAAGTATCTGCATGGCAAATAGGAGAGGATGTGTTGCTGTAGCACATGCTTTTTACTGATCAACTTGTTTTCACAAATTTCTGTGCTTTTTGGTTGGCTTCTGGATTCCTAAAATTTCTGAGGTGAAGGCACTTACTAAAATGTCAGGTGGACTTCAGTTTCTAATTCTGTTCTCTGATAGAATTTCTTAGATTTTCTTGCCTATTTAGATATTTTTAGAGTTTCATAGATTTAGCAACACTGTTTTTGGAAGAGAATCTTTAAGATAGGATAATAAACAGTTCTAGGGCTTATAGGCAGTCTGTACTGAAAAAAAAGCCCCAAACAACAACAACAACAACTACAGCCTAATGTTCAGGCAGCAAAATTTCAGTGTTTTAGCTCAGTAGCTAACAGAGAATGAAACAGGATATTTTTCATAGAGTGGTTGGGTTGGAAGGGACCTTCAGATCATCTCCTTCCAAGCCCTCTGCTATGGGCAGAGACACCTTCCACTGCACCAGGTTTCTCCAACCTGGCCATTTTTATGGTCATGCATATTTTTGGCCCGAAATGTTTGTGGATAATTTAATGTTTTTTAATATCTGTTTAATAGTCTAATAAAGGCTTTTAGAAGTATGGTGATTTCTTTATGTCTAACAGACTGCACAAATGACATTAATATCAGTCATTGCATTAACAATCTCTCTGCTCAAATACTGTGGATTTCTTTAGCCATGCTGATTAGTACATTCTGGTTTCAATGGCTGTTTTCTGTTCGAGTCATAGATGCTTTTATTTCCAGCTCTTCAGAGTTCCATGGAAAACATTTGCCAAAATGGTGCTGTTTGCTTAAGATACGTGATTTTTTCCTTATTTGTGTGCATGTGTGTATGCACAGCCATTTTTAAAATTGATCTGGAGAAGGAGGACTGCTTTCATAGTCTGAATGTCTGGAATAAAGTCAAGAAAAGATGAAAAGGGAGACTTCCCAGGAAATTAAATACTTGTGAATTGCAGTCTTTTTGGGTTTTTTAGTAATGGCCTCCTTGATTTCCTAGATGATTAATTTAATTTATCAGAGCAAGGAAGAGATTTTTTCAGTTGAAAATATTTTCTTAATTGCAATTATCCAGATGGGTTGGGGAAATGGTTAGCTCAGTGCATTTTTATATTTTGTAATCATTGCTTAAGCATTGTTTTATTCCCAGACCCTCTTTTTTCTTAACCTGTTCTTATCTTTACTGTTCCACCCAGGGCTCAATAGTCAGCTTTGCATAACAGTGTCAAAAACCATAAATAAAAACTTTGATTGGATGCTAATTTACTTTCTCTTTTCTAATACCACACAATTTACAAGTGGTTTTTGTCTACTCTCCCTCTCTCTTTGTATGCTTCTGACCACAAATAGGTAAGCAGCATTTATTTCCAAAATGGGGCATCTGGTGATAATTACTCTTATCTAGAATATGCTTCTCAGTGGAATCTAATCAGATTTGTCTTTAGGCAGTTGGTTCCTCTTCCTTCAATTTGTATTGCTACTGTTTCAAAAATTTTTTGAGTGCATGTTCTCTAGGTGCTTGTCTTAATCTCCCAGAATCATATATGGCAGTGTCTACTATTTAAATAAATACTGGACAATTTATATTCTTTTTTTGGGATGAAATAGAATGAAAAATGAAAATGTATTTGTTATTCTGAATAGATATGTCTGCTACTGATAGTTTTTTCCTTTTTTTTTCTTTTGCCCTTTTATTTTCAATGAAAGATGAAGTTCTCTCAGGCATACATCTACTTTTAGGAAGCACATCAAAGACCATTAAGCATCCATACTGTGTAACTGTTTCATTAGTTTCAAAGTACAAATTGTACTCACACTAATGATGCCATTAATTTGCTGAGTTGTCTGTAGTCTGAGAGTTTTATCACTAATTCTAGGATTAAAAATGAAAAAAAAATTAAAAATCACAGAACTAGTGTGGTCATACTTGACTAGTGGTGAAATCAAGTAGATGTACATGTATATTCATGTTGTTCTAACAGAAACATCCATACAGGAGGAGCCTTGTTAATGTTTTGATCAGCTGTGCAGAAACACTAATGGACAGTGCTGAATTTAGTCAGGGGTTGAGGTGAAGTTCACTGGGTGGCACAGATTACTGCATCAGGTGCAAGCTTTCCATTCACACAGGAAAGGCTCTAAGGGATGAACCACCTCAGCAGTACCTGCTTGGATGAACAGGTGATTTTAAAAGTTGCTCAAAAAGACAGGAACTGTCCTCATTCCACTGGATGTTGCTTGTCAACATTTACAGAGTGCAATTTTCCTCCATTTATGTCATCACTTAGCAAAAGTCATGTTAGCTTGTTTATACTGCACTTTTAAATGCTCTCTTAAAACCTTGGAAGCTAATATCCTGTCACTAGATTTTCAGGTTGCTTTGGCAGAACCTGCTGAAGTTTCAGCCAATTAAAAAAAAACAACCAAAAACCAACCCTAAACCAAATCCTTAGTAAATTGAAAATTGAGAGGGTAAGAGATCTAATAGAAAAATGGATCACTTTTAATACTGAATGAAGTTGAACTCTCAAGCCTGTTGGGGGGATGAACCCTGCTGCACACTTTGGATCCAGATTCCTTGACGTTTTTTGTCTGGACAATTCTTTGAGCTTGTGAACAGAATCTGGTGAGAACCCTGGTGATGGCAGAGCCCAGTTGCTGTAGAACAGTGTTCTCTCCATGGGAATTAGCAAACAGGCAGACATCTTCAGGCTGTACAATACTCTGGCTGCTCTTCCCTGCTGTGTATGAGTGGTTGTTGGTATGAGGAAGCAAAATTTGTGGTTGTTCTTTTGATTAACGTGACCTGTATAGATTTTCCAATGAGTGATCAAAGGGAGACTAAAATATTTCAGAAATCAGAGCACAGAAACTTGCCCAAAGGAAGAAATGAACATAAATAGAAAATTTAATAAACATTACAAATCTGCCAAATCAGCAATTGTTAAAGTACTAATAAATATATTTTTAAGCTTGCTATAATGAAGAAAGATGCTGACGTGAAACAGAGGGGAATTTGCTCTGATTTAAAGTCTTTTATTTTCTAAAGCAAAAAAGCATCAGTAGATAGGGAGGAATTTTCCCCATATTGAATGTTACATTGAAAGGAATCCAAAATTTCAGGCACATAATCACAAGGTTTTGTAATGCAGTGAGTTTATGTACATCTGCTTAGCACCAGCCACCGACTGTGTGCCTAATTTTAGGTTGAAGCTTACACTTTGCCATTTGGAATAAACTTGATATGTACATGCTGAGTAGCTTAACTGACATCTGGTGACTTTTTAGGGAGAAAGAGTATGATTATGGGGACAAGAGAAAACCATTAGATTTAATTACTGCAGCACCAATTCTAGTAATGGAACATCCAAGTGAGGGAGTTGCTGTTCTCAGAACAAAAGTTCCTGCAATTTTGTACTGTGTGATTTAAAAAGTTGGACTTTGCAGCAGCAAGGCTTTAAAAAAACCAGTAGTGAAAGTAAGATTTTTAAAATGTGGAGAAATGTTCCAAGAGAAGCTGCGTGAGATGATTTCTGGGATGGTAATTTCCTATAGAAAACGCAAATATTTTGTAGTTAAAAAGATTCCAGTTAAGACAGGAAAGGGCCAGGATCGTCTTGCTTTTATTACTGGCATGTATCATGTACATTTTAGCAACCTAATTGATGACTCCTATTAGCACAGTAAATTAATGCTGAATATTTAAGATATTTGACTTAATACTGGAAAAGTCAACTTTAATGAGTTTTACTATGTGATTTTACAGGGGCATGGCAAATGACCAACTTGTTTTGAAATTATGGTCCTGTTACATTTTCTTAAAATTCAGATCTCACTAAAATCAGCAATGTACTAAAATTAAAAAAGTAAATTAATATATATTTTCTGTTTTGTTTAGGGTGCAAAATTTGGACATTCAATGGGATTAAATCAGGCTCCTCCTCCACGTTCTTCTGCTCGAAGATCCTTTGGGAGATCAAAGCGATTTAGTATTACTCGCTCTCTGGATGACCTTGAGGTAATTAACTTTCACTTAAGATTGAGAAGTGAGCCTTAGAGAACTTACAGTAGATAATTGCTGAAGGAAAGTCAGTAATGTATTAGTGTGATAAAGTTACTTACTATCATATGACATTTTTGTGAGGGGAATACAGATTTCAGGTATCAAATTGTGTTTTTCAATATTCCTTTCATAGGTCACATTGGTGCCAGCAGTGGGGAATTCCGACTTTATTTTCCCTACCACAGTTGGTTCTGTGTAAATCCAAACAATATACTTTTGCTGATCAAAATGTTTATAATGTCTCAGAAAATAATATATTATGGTCTATATAAAAATCAAATGTTTATCATATTCTGGCTTTTGTTCAGCTGATGAATTTCGACAGCAGTTGAGAAAAGGGAATTCCTGATCAACTTAGTGATTTTGGGTGCTTTTAAGTGTAATATTGCATTATTTTACATCTGGTGTAACATCAGCTGATGTCTGGCTCTCAAAGCCGTATTAGCTCTGGAGAAAACAAGGAATGAAAAGCCATCCTCCTGATCTGCTGTAGGAACCACCTGTAGGAATTCGTTATATCTTTGCTCCTAGTGTGGCTCCTCAGGAAAACCTGACCTGCAGTGATGTGAAGGTGAATGGAGAGGTTCTTCCCTTAGCCCTTTACCGTGCTCATTTGGAGGAAGGCTGGTGACTGGGGAGAAACAAAAATCTGTGCAGAGCTCTTGGCACAAAAGTCATGGAATATATATTACACCACTCTTGAGCACGGGAGGGAATGTGGCACACTGAGCCCTCTAAATAGGAAGGAGGTGTTTAAAAAGCATTTGAGATGGGAGGAGGAAAGAAGGAGACACTGAGTTTTCTGCTGTGGGAAAATGTAGGACGAATCAGTGCAGTGGATTTTTGGGAGCAGAATATATGGAGGAGCTTATGGCATGCTTAGGGAATGCAGGTAGGAACTGTAATTACTTATTTCTCAGATGTTTTTCTATTTTTCTGCTGTTTTGTAGTGGTCTATTTTTATGTTCTCTGAAGCTTCTAAGTGTATTGCTTCTTTTTTTCTAGTTATGGAAAATACTTAATTTCTTTTACAACTCATAACTTTAATATAATAATTGCATAACTTAAACACAGCAAGAAGTTCTGGATAAAGGGGTTTGGGAACCATCTAGCTACATCTTTCTTAATCAGAAAATGGTGATTCTTCTAAACTGAAAAAGTTTGCTGTTATATATATCCAGTTTTGACAGAGTTTCTGGTTGCAGTAAGAGCGAATTCTCTCAAAATACCAAAGAGTCTAGTGCTAGTAATTCACATGCAACAGGAAAAGCATGGTTCTTTCCAGAGTCTTCCAAACTGAAATTTCATGCAGGTTTTTTGCATATCTCATGTTTTGTGTGTTTTAAACATGAAAAATAAAATTTAATTTCTGTTGTTGGAGCTGTTTCACATTGCGTAAATATTCATTTAAATAGACACTTGTGACTTTCCATTAATTTCGGAAAGATATTATAGTTACTGGCCTAAAAAGTCCTTTTCTCCTCTCATTATGTCCTAGTTGGCATTTGTTAGTGTATGTGAACAGAGTAGCACCAACAGCAGGGATCAAGAGCTGATCTGTGTCCCAACATTCTCATTGCTGCTGCAGTTACTTTGGAAGGGGAAAGTTTCATTCCAGGTCACAATATGAACTGGACAAAGGGATGGTCTGTATTCAAATCTGCACTTGGATGAGTGCCCTTACTACATGTAGCTATGTGGGTGTGGACTGTTCTCTGTCAAACTACTTCTTTTCACGTTGAAATCTCTTTTTTGCTCTGCATGCTGAAAGAGAATTGTATCTTAGATATCCCAGCCACCAGGAGAAACAGCAATCCAGAAGAGAATTCCAAAAGCTTTGTATGTCAAAATAAAATAGTGTTGGGGTGTTTTAATTTTTGTTCAGACTTCAACACTGCTGCTTCAGCACTTGTCCCAAGCGCTCTTACACTGTGTAGTAGAACACAATGTTGTTAGTACATGTTTAGTTTATTTCAGGCGTCTATTTAGGGTTGGTGGAAGAGGAAATAACAATAGCAGGAAATTCTTAGAGACTCCACCTTTGGAATAATGACCATGAACGTATTGTATAGGCTACTTGCTTGCTTTTGTGTTCTTTTCAGTTATCTTAGCAGAAGGAGTAAGGTAATAATCCAAACATGAAATTTGGAAGTTAATATGCTTCTCTGAGCTTGTGGGTTTGATTCCTGCTGGCATCCAAATTAATCTTCTAAATTGAGCACTGTGAGTAAGTTCCATGGAGTTGCATTTATGGGTGTTTGCTGAATACTGCTCATTGCTTACAGGTCTAAAAAGGTTGTATTTGGATTTTTTGTTGAAGTATGAGCAGTGTGAAACACCAGCTGTCAGTGTTGCTGACTGCTGCCATAAGGTGGCGTGATTTCTTTGAAATATTTTATTTATTTATTTATTAAAATATCTGTCCAAGAATACATCATATTCATGTGATTTAATAAATAAAAGCATGATTTCACGAGAAAATGTCACTTTGTCTTTTAACTTGTTAGATTACATCTGTCTATATGTGCACAGACAGAATTATTGTAAGATGAGCATTAATAGTATAGTTGCCCCTCCTTAAGTATTTTCCTCTTATCTGCAGAAGCTGTATTATACATAAGAAAAACCAGACAAGTTTGTAGGATTAATGTCTAGGTGCTGTTTTTAGTAATAGAAACCGTATAAAAGATTATTTTAAAAATGCAGGGATCAAAATGGGATGAGAGTGCAAAATTAATGGTGCAGTTTGCTATAATTGTGGTAGGGGAAATGTCTCACAAAACAGAAAATGCACAGTTTTATTTCTGAACTGTGGAAAGCATGCTTGTTCACAGCAGGGCTGATTATGATTAATTATTCTTTAAATTAGAACTGAATTCAGAAAATGAGCATATCTAGCATGTTTCCTAGTTATGTTGTTTTCACAAGAAATGTATTTGGAAAATTTTCTTTATTAAATTACAAGAAATATGGTTTTGTTAAGAAAAGATTTATCTTTTATCTAGCAATAAGTTTTCCTATGTGAATAATTTGTTGTTATGAAATAGTGCCCATTAACAACTATGTTGACATTCTGTGATTTGGTCCAATTATACTTTTTAGCATATTTTCTTGTTCATATTTTCAAGGTGTAACTTAAGCTAAAAGGACCTTATGATTATTTAACATTTGGCTTAACGAGAGGGCATGATCCTGTCTTTCTTCCCTGTAGGTAAATGCCACTACTCTCATCCTCTTGCACAATTCTGTTCTGGAAAAGATGTTTATAAATTTATAAACACATTAAAGTCTCTGTGAGACTGCAGACAGTAGAACACTACCCATGTAAAAATTTACCTTAAACACAGTAATTGTAATTCTTCTATTCATCACCAGTTTTGGTAACATTTTCAATGTAGTCCATTCCACTCATCTTTTAATTTTTCTTGAAGTCTGTTAAAATGGGGAACCTTGCAGTATTTTCTTGAAGTCAAAAAAATTAAGTTCCTCCTCACCAAGAAGAACATTCAAAGCTGTTTTTTCCTGAAAATCATTTTGGTACTTGTACTTTTTGTATCTCTTTGTGGTTAAAAATAGGGCAGAGTAGTATAATGAGTGACATAATCTCTTAGGGAAACAAGTGTCAAATTCTTTAAGCATAGTTAAATAATCATTTAATGCAGAGATATTTTAAAAATTAAAGATGATTTAATTCTTTTAACTAAATATCAGGACAAGAAAGGATGTCTGTTACAGCTTTTCTTCTTGTTCTCATCCTGTTTTGGAAGCCTTAAAGGTATATTGCATATTAAAAATAACATTTGTTGAATCAAATTTCTAGAGTTTAGTAATGTTTTCAAAGTTGGAATGTGTATGTATTCTTTTTAAAAATCAGTGTGAGGACTTTTGTTAGAATGTTCCGTCTTAATTATAACCATTAATAATGTAGTATTATTAGGTGTTATTATAGATAATAATGCTTGATTTTTCTTTTTCTGTTTTGTTAATTCTACTGAATCAACGTTTTGCATTTCATCTGCTCTTTGAAAGCATACAGCACATCTCTTTGGTATGAGGTTTTTTTATACTAAAGGATGACATGTCTCTGCTGGATATTAGCTTTGGCATCTGTGGGTGGCAAAACTCCCCCTAAATGCTCATTTATTTAATAAGGAGTTTTTAAGTGGCTACCTGTTTTTGTTTGACTGATTTCAATAATCAAACAAAGCTTACACAGGGAGATAATAGCTTATATTACACCAACTAGTACACTAGGACAATCAGACAAGAAGATCTAAACATGCCCCAAACTTTTCCCACCCTCTTATATGATCTAATAAAAAGTATTATCTCTCCCTGCAGAGGTTGTTTTATTGATGTTCTTAGATCATCACCATGGCCACAATGCCACTACTATGGCAAGTATAAGTACATGATTTAAATCAAGGAGCCTCTTCATTCTCAGCTTATAACAGTGAATTCAAAATTGGAAAAGAATGTATATTGTCTTAGATTTCACCAATTAGTTAAAATAAATATATTCTATTGTGTACCCCCTTTAAGTACTACATCTTTGGCAGTATTTTGTCCAAATTTTTATCTAAGATATAACCAACAAATTGGCAATTTTGATGTCAGCTTTCATAAAAATGGGAGGAAAGGCTAATTGTGAAATAGCAGTGCATGCATGAGAAAATCTCCATTTTTGTATGTAAATGGCAGCACTGTATTTTTAGCATGGTGATAATTTGTTCCTAAAGGCTTAATCCAGTCTATATACAGATATTCTGAAGTCTGAGTGCTCCACAGTGTTGGAAACTTCAAGGATCTGTGCCCATGGATGAGCTTCTTGTTTCTCTTTTCCCTTGGCACCAGGGGTCGCTTCTGGAGCAGTGAGAGGTGTGCTTAGTGATTTCAGACTCCCTGGCTATACCGGCTCAAACCCTCTTGCTGAACCACGATGTCCAGCTGTAAAT